GCAAGTCTGTGGGCATTTTCTTGATTAATGATTGATGTAGGAGAGTCAAGCCCACTGTGAGTAGACCAATGGGCTTGTGGTCCTGTGCTGTATAAGAAGGAAGCAGGATGAGCAAGCCATGAGGGCCAAGCCAGTAATAAACACTCGCTCATGGCTTCTGCTTGAGTTCCTACCCTGACTTCAGATGAAGTGTGACCTCAGTGTTGTTGGAAGATACAAGTCCTTTCCTCCCCAAGCAGCTTTTGGTCATGGTGTTAGAACCTCAAGGAAGACAGAAATTGAACACCAGGAGTGCTGTGACAGACCTGGCCATGTGTTTTTGGAAGTACTGTGGTGGCATTTGAACTTGAGATGGAAAAGCCATTGGTTAATCAGGGCTCAGTGGGCTGTTATGTGGAAACATTGAAGATAAGACTGTTGACAGCAATGAAAATGGTGGAGGGATGGCTTGTGCAGTTCAGAGGGAAGTTCTGATGTCTCTTAAAGACTCTATCTGGGCCGGTTTATATTTTAAATTAAGTATCTGTGGTTCTGGTCAGCTGGGGTTGAAGGATTGGCTTCAAGTAATAAGGAACCAGAACCAGTAAAGTGAAACCTTTGCTTATCTGAGACAATCAGTACTGGTCATCTAGGCTGAAGAATCAGCTGGGATTAAGAAGAGCCTCAGGGTGATCATGCAGGCACCATGGTCCATGGGAGACCAAGGACAAGCTAAACTTGGTAATAGGTAAGAGTCTCCCAGTTGGTACTGATTTTGGAGGTAGAAAGGGATCACAGGGAGCAGTTGATTCTTGGTACTCCAGGAGGCTAGGAGAGACCATCGGTGAATGTGTAACATCGGTTGAAATAGAAACCCATGATTGAAGGGATCATGTAGAGAAGTCGAGTCCTATGTTGAGTCCATGTGGCAGGGTTAGAATCCCTGAAGAGAGCACAAAAGAGACTACTGGTGAAAGTGTAATCCAGTTGCAACAGAAGACCCTAGCATTGTGGAGATACAGTACCATGGGACCACCACCAAGGACAGCCACAGCTGTGGAGCTGAGCCAGCCTGAGCCTAGGACACAAGCCATATGTGCTGCAGAGGGCAGAGCCAGGAAGTAAACCAGACCCTTTGGAGCCCAGATGATGATGGGTCCCAGATGTTATAACTATACCCTCATTCTTCCCTCTTGGAGCAAGAAAATCTTTAACTTATTCTTTATTTTACAGGAGCCCACCATTGAGAGGATTTGAGGATTTTGGAGAGGTTTTGAACTTTGAAAGAGACTGGATATTTTAAAGAGACTGAACTTTGGAGTATTGAAAATTTAAAGACTGAGAAAAGTTCTATGTCTCTATTAGAATATCTTGGAGATAAACAAGGAAGAAAGGTTTACGGTTTGATAATGGTGTGTTTGTGGGTCAAAATGACAAGAGATCACTTCTGTTGGACAGCTGTCAACTTGACACAAGCTGGAGTCATTTGGGGTGAGGGACAACTCTGTAGTGTATTTCCTTGGTCAATGATTGATGTAGGAGGGTCCAGCCTATGTGAGGAAGTGCCACTTCAAGGTAGGTGGTCCTAGATGATATAATAAAGCAGGATGATCAAGCCATGAGGAGCAAGCCCATAAGAAACACTCCTCCATGGCCTCTGCTTCAGTTCCTGCCTCCGGTTTCCTGTCTCGACACTCAAACCTCAAACTCACATATACATATATCTCTACATGACATATATTCATACTACAAACACACATACCACATAACAAACATGCCCAAATACACATATTTTATACAAAAACTGCATATCACGCATGTATAAAGCACATCACACAGGCCATAAACTATGCACTCATACCACACCATATACTATGTACCATATATGCATATTCCATATACACACAAACACAAATACGTAAAATATACATACATCATATCACTGACATAAATTCATACCATGCAACAGCCATTTATACTTCTCACACACCAAACATAAACACCACAACATTCCTTATAGACATAATTTATATTCTACACACACACTTGCTCATCCACACATGCCACACAATACACATTGTACCCACTATCACATATCACAAATTCACATACACAAATATCATATTTAACACCCTGTACAGACATACCATTCACATATCATAAGGCATAACATACACTTTTTAGTTCATATAAAATAAATGTCATCTTGATAATATTCCCCATATGGACATAGAGTCACAGCATTAACCTAAGGTGACATAGAAAGGAACTCACAAGGAATGAAATTTAGAGCTTGTCATTTGGTGGTAATGGGCAAACTGGTCCAAATCCCTTTTGAAAGAACTGCCTTGTTTTCTCACAGCATTTAATCCTTTTTCCTGTAGGCTATTGAGAAGTGCATTGTGAATAACTGTGTAATCAGAGAGGGTGGTGTCAGGCTGAAGGCAAGTGAAAGTAAGGTCAGAGCCAACTGTAGACATGTCCAGGAATGACAGGATCCAAGAAGAGGATACCACTGAAGGCCACCCTCTCTTTGTCCCTGTGTGCCATGGCCTGTACAGCACAGGTCCCAGAACCCCAGCTAGGGGCAGCAAGGTAATGAAGAAAGGACAGACACAAGTACAGTGGAACTGGGATCAGGTAGGGTCCTCTAACTGCTGCAAATTGGATGTTTAGGTATAGCACATGTTTCTTAGGTATAGCACAGGGCGGGGGAGGTTAGGTAGTCTCAGTAGGAGGTCTCCATAGGCCAGCCACCTCAGGCTGTAACATTTAGGAGATGGACGCCTCAGTTGCTAGTCTTTGCACGTGCTGATCAATCATTCATAAACATACATCAACTCCTGAGAAAAACCTTGCCATATGCCCCGGGCATATGGGTAATGGCTTTGTCGATTGTCCCATGGGTCTGAGACCTTAGATATCCTGGGTTTGAGTCTGTGCCCATATCAAAATTCACATTCATTCAGGGTTTCACCTACTCAGGGCTTCCTCTGTTCCCTACATCTATGTCTTCCAGAAGCATTCTCCCTATTAGTTTAGACACCGAATATCAGCAAAGCTCTATATACCTCCAGGTGCTCTGCACCATACCTGTATACCTGTATACTACTGGCTCCATTTTTCTGGTGGTTTGTGCTTCCTCCAAGTTAATCAAAGTTAATAATTGTACCTTCATCTATAAATCTTATGTCCTACTGTAGTGGTTTGAAGGAGAATGGCCTCCACTAAGTACTCAGATATTTAAATGCTTGGTTCCTAGTTAGGGAAACTATGTGGGAATGATTAGGGGGATAGCCTTGTTCTAGGAGGTATAGCATTGTTATAGGTGGTATGTTACTGGGGGAGGGCTTTGAAACATGGCTGCCTTAGTGTTTCTCCCTGCTGCCTGCAGAATCAGGATGTAAAGCTCTCAGCCTCTGCTCCAATATTAGACCTGCCTGTTTCCTGCCATCATGATCATGAACTAACCCTCTAAAACCATAAGGAAGTCCCCAATTCAATGTTTCCTTTTGTAAGAGTTGTCTTCTTGGTCATGGTGTCTCTTCACAGCAGTAGAATAGTAACTAAGACATCCAGTGAGAAGTTGGAGTCTCCTTTGTATCAATGAAGGGGAAACTTGAAGTAGTAGTAAAATTGATGCTACAAATATGTCCTACTTGCTTAGGACATATTAAGTTAAACAAAGCAGAATTTAGCTAAAGGAGCGCTGCCTCCAACATGACTGGAGGATAAGTTGTGTGCTAACCACACTTGTTCGAAACTGTGGGCAAGAAGATTCTGTACCATAAATGAACTGGGATGCAGTTTCTGCTAATGTTTATTCACCAAGATTGTCCTCTCATTGTTAGACCCCAAAAATCTAGGGTCTCAAGTGGGCACCCCAAGAACCCAGACTCCAGTCCAGTTGATGCAACAGCAAGAGGTGTTTATTAATGCAGCTGTACAGTCGGGTTCCTCCGCTCCAGAGAGCAGGAGTCGCATCGCACTGCAGTCACATAGGTACTTTTAAAGAAAAAACCCACAAAAGCCATAAGATTACAATTCCCATACAATTTCATTTCGATTGATTTATGTCTAGAGGCTAATTTCATAAGATCATGGTCTGGTCACAGAGTGATCACAGAGGGGGTACAGTTACGTCAGTGTGCACATTTCTCCCAAAACCTCAAGGGGGGTATCAGAGCGGGAGTAGAGTTTACACAAAGGTCACAGTGGTCCTTCCTGGAACACTTGCAACTATCCCAGTCACAGTTGAGCACATCTCTTAACAGAAATCTTTTTACATTGTTACATTGTGGCAGGGGTGGTTGAATTATGGCTGAGTCGGGTTGCCCTTGGAACTAGCTTTCTTTTTAGTTCCTTATTCTCCTGGGGCTTGGTGGGTGTAAGCCTGAAGGGTTAGGGTCTTTCATAATGAATCTCCACTCCCATAGCAATCGTGACTTAAACCAGCCAGCAGGCCCATCCCCATGTCAGATAACATGCCTCTGAGAGGGAGCTCAAGGGGGCAGTGCAGAATCACAACTCCCATTAAATCTTGGTCTGCCTTTGAGTTCCCTGAGCTCTTATAAGAAAAAGCATAATTCTGCCAGGTGGGCAAGATGACCCTGGGTAACAATTATTCAAAAAGAACAACACTGGTGTACTTATTAAATAAGTCTGGCAGTATTTTGCTGTGGACATCTCCCATCTGCCCAAGTAGCCAGACTTCCAGTCTCCTGTGTTTAAGTTGTCCAAATTTTAACCTGGGTCAATACCCAAAAGGGATTTAAGGATGACAGGGTTTGTAGAATACATAAACCTAATATGTGTACAAGTTAGTAAGATCTATTCACGGGCGGCTCCTCTTCGAGCATTAGTCAGAGCCAGAAGTTCACTATATTAAAGAGCTTTTCCTTTGTTAACCTCTAAGTGTGTGGAGTGACTTCTCACTGGGAAAGCATATTATTTCTATAACAGTGTCATGTCCGTGGGATACCCAACAAGGGTTCCGGTTTAGACAGAGGACAGTGGGGGGGGGGGGGAGCCTCCAGGGATGAGCACAAGTGCCGGGCCCCACATCAGCACAGAAGGCCATAGGAAGCCTGACAGAGGCGAAGTCCTTCTGCTTTCAAAAAGACGGTTTCTGGACAGAGGATGTATCAAATATTAAACTGATAAGAACAGATACCATACTTTATCTTAGCCAAAAGGAGAGGGAACTCACCCCTGAGAGCCAGGACCCAGAAGCAGGACAGCTCAGAGACCTAAGAAAGAACCAAACAAGATTGACCAAAACAACAACAAAAAAACCTTAATGTAATGATGCCTAAGGATATTCTGCTATACTCATAGATTGGTGCCTAGCCCAACTGTCACCAAAGAGGCCTCACCTAGTAACTGATGAAAACAGATGCAGAGACCCACAGTCAAACATTAGTTGGAGCTCAGGAAATCTAGTAGACAGGAGACAGGATTGTGGAGCTGGAGGGGTCAAGGACTCCACAAGGAAACTCACAGAATCAACTAACCTGGGCTCACAGGGGCCCACAGAGACTGAACTGACAACCAGGGAGCCTACATGGGACTGACCTAGGCACTCTGCATATGTTACAGTTATGTAACCTGGTCTTCTTGTAGAACTCCTAACAGTGGGAGCAGGGGCTGTCTTTTGCCTGCTTTTGAAACCCTTTCCTCCTATAGGATTGCTTTGTCCAATCTTAATAGGAAAGAAGGTGCCTTGTAGATGTAATTCTGAATGGTCTTATTAAATAAGAAACACAGAGCCAAATACAGAGTTAAAAGCCCAAGAGGTCAGAGAGCAGTAGCCAAGAGCTAAGACCACCTTCTTACCACCCACTGCTGCTGCCATCCTTCCCCTGAGAAAGAGACCTATTTCCTGTGTGTCTATATTTTTTATTGACTTTCTGTTTCTCATTGGTTCTAAACCCAACCACATGAACTCCTCATCACTGCCTGTCTATACAGACCTCCAGGTCTCTATGGTTGATATTGAGATTAAAGGCGTGTGTCTCCAAGCTGGCTATGTCCTTGAACACACAGACTCTGCCTGCCATGTGATCAGATTAAAGGCGTGTGCTACCACTGCCAGACTTCTGCTAAATGGCTTGCTATTAGCTCTGACCCCCAGGCAACTTTATTTATTAGCATACAAATAAAATCACATTTCAACACAAATAAAAAATCACCATAGTGCCTAGTCTCACTGCAACCTGATATACCATGGCTGACTGATATCCACTGGGGGCCTGCCCTTTTCCGAAGAGAAACAGAGGAGCAGGAGTGGGCTGAGGGTGGAGGTGGGGCTGAGAGGAGGGAGGGGAAACTGCAGTCAGGATGTAAAAACAACAAAAACAAATCAATAAGTACAGAAAAATGTAAATATTTCTATAGTACAGAAAAAAAGAAGTAGGAACAGAGAGGGTGGAGTTGTGAGACCAAAATGAGCCATCTTAGAAATAAGACCAAAATGCCTTCACCCAAAAACTAAGGCCTAAGATTTTTCCTTCTAGGAATAGGCCAATAGTTACTGAAACAAGTCAGTTCAGATTCCAGAAACCAGGAAGTGTAAAAGTACAGAGTCACAAGATAGTCACGAGGTAATGCCTGCCAGACTATGGAATGTCCTCTCCCTGGTTTCCAGGGTAACTGACCATAAAAATGCCCCTGAGGGCAGCCAATTGGAAATGGTGGCAGGCAACCACTCCCTTAGAAGTAATTTCTAGAAGCCCCTAGAAGCAAGCCAATCAGAATTGTACCCATACTAGCACCCCTAAATGATGTAACCTTGTGATTTTTCCCTTTAAAAACTGAGCTTGCAGACAGGCGGGCACTTCCTCCAGCCTCCACTGTGTTGGATGTATTGGACGAAGTCCCTGCCTAGGCTTGTATTGCATTTGGATATCCAGAATTAAACCTTGTTTTTGCATTCCGGCATGCTCCTCTTTGGTGGTCTCTCTGGGGGTCATGATCTGGGCACAACAGAGTGAATCTGGGGAGAGGGGAAGTGGAGGGGAAGCTGGGAGGAGTGGAGGGAAGGAAACTATGGTCGGGGGTTTATTGTGTGAGAACAGAATCTATTTTCAATTAAAAAGAAGAAAAAGAATCAATGCTCCACAGTGCCACCGAAGGTCAGGGAGACATCTAGGGATTATAGCCACCCTGGAAGTACATCACTTCCATCATCTTTGCCCCTTCCCTGCTGTGTCTTTGTCTCATGAATATCCCTCATAATTGCCATTTGTTTGTTATGTTTTCTGTTCTGCAACAGAGCACAAGCCCCGTGAGGATGGTGTTTCATCTTGCACACAGCTGTGTGTCACAGCACTTGGTGATCACCAGATATTTAAGCCAGATTTATTGCATGAAAGAAGAAAGGGCATTATAATCAGAAAAATAATGTCAGGAGGAAAAAAATCCAGGCTCTAGGGAGCTGAATTTCTTACCTCTGTCCCCACCCCAAGCACAAGCTCCTGGTGCTCCTCAGGTCCAGGAAACCTGGGGATTTACTGAATGCTAAGGTCACTTTGGGCAACTGAAGTCTTCTGGAAGCAGCACAGTCCAAGCATTTGCAAGAAGACTGCAAGAAATCATCTTGAACATTTGTAAAGGAAATGCTGAAGGGCTTTTGTCTACATGATTTTTCTATTGCTTTAAATGTCTACTGACAGAGAGGATAGCTTCATTCACTGGTCTGTTGACATGCCTCTGAGTCAGCCACTGATATGGTATGTGTACCCTTTAAAATTAAGACCTCACTGCCACAGGTCCTATGGGTGTGCAAAGCAGGAAGTCACACATTCTGAACCTCTGTGGTCAGCCTCAAAAGTATGATGTGGTGGACAGCCTCCTGCCTTACACACACACTAAGAGAGACTATTGAGGTCCAGCCTCTAATCATCATTTCCCAGGGTTTCCAGAAGATATGCTACTAACAGTGAGAAATAATCTGAGGGAATGAATCTAAGTATACTGAGCTCTTTAGGCCATTCACTTTATTCTTCTGAGACAAAATTTTATCTATACAGTCTCAATTCCATTCTCATACTTAGCTCCTCTCTGTCCCTTCTCCTCCTGTCCTATCATAGTCCTATCTCTGTTCTTTCCATCTCATTCTCATCTTCATCTTCATTCCCATCCCTATCTTCATTCCTTCCTCTCTTCTCCCTGTGATGTGTCTCCATACACTTACAATCAGCAATACCCTGCCCTCGCTTTCTCATCCAATGGGTTAAGTCTGCTCCAGGGCTAGGAAATCTGTGTCATAGCTTGAATGCACCTGGTCTGAAGAAACTCTTTTGTTCTGAGTTAATTGTTGGAGGGGAAATCTGGAGGTGCCACTAAGACTGTGTAAGAAAGGAGGGTCTAAGCTTAATTTGCATGAGAAACAAAGCTATGTACCTAATATCTATCTGGTCTAGGCGGTGTCTCCATATGGGTATTTAGCTTAATTCAGGAGATTAGCTGGTGGTCTGACTGCTTGTTCTGTCTGTCATTTGTCCTTGGATGTTAGCTAAAGGAGATATATGATTATAATGCTAAAAAGGGAGAAACAAAAGGCCTGGAAGCAGGAAGCCTTGCCTGTGTGGCTGTTACCCAAATACCTCAATTGTATACACCCAAGGAATGATCAATACACACTGTTTAAAAGTTCTTAGGAAAAGAATCAATTGGGGAAGCTATGATAGCACACATGAAGTTCATAGCAGAAAACAGCTGATATATTCAAAAAGCCAAATAACACCAATACTCCTTGTGCCTTGGCTTCCTCTGGAAAGTCCTTGACCATCCAGGCAATAGTTTTTGTTATAGTCAGCTGAATTCCTGCTTCATATTTCTGTGGCCTGCAGCAACACACAATCTGGAGAGGGGCACCTCTCCTAGGGTGAGTATTAGAGCATTGCTAATAGCTATTAAAATTATTTCATTAGACATCAAAATGCCCAACAGTCCAATTAAGAAATGGGCTATAGAACTAAACAGAGAATTCTCAACAGAGGAAACTCAAATGGCCGAAAGACATTTAAGGATCTGCTCAACATCCCTAATCATCAGGGAAATGCAAATCAAAACAACTCTGAGATACCACCTTACGCCTGTCAGAATGGCTAAGATCAAAAACACTGAAGACACCTTATTGTGGAGAGGATGTGGAGCTAGGGGAACTCTCCTCCACTGCTGGTGGGAATGCAAGCTTGTACAACCACTTTGGAAATCAATATGGCGCTTTCTTAGAAAATTGGGAATCAATCTCCCCCAAGATCCAGCTATACCACTCTTGGGCATATACCCAAGAAATGCTCAACCACACCATAAGAGCACTTGTTCAGTTATGTTCATATCAGCATTGTTTGTAATAGCCAGAACATGGAAACAACCCAGATGCCCTTCAACTGAAGAATGGATAAACAAAATGTGGTACATATACACAATGGAATACTACTCAGCAGAGAAAAACAATGGCATCATGAGGTTTGCAGACAAATGGATGGATCTAGAAAAAATCATCCTGAGTGAGGTAACCCAGACTCAGAAAGACAAACATGGTATGTACTCACTCATAGCAGGATACTAGACATGAAACAAGGATGACTTGTCTGCTACTCACATCACCAGGGAGGCTACCTGGAAAACAGGACCCCAAGAAAGACACAGGGATCACCCAATGACAGAGAAATGGAATGAGATCTACATGAACAGCCTGGACATGAGTGGGGGTAATGAAAGGCGAGGGTTGAGGGAAAGAGAGCTTGGGGGAGCGGGAGATCCCAGCTGGATCAACAACAGAGAGGGAGAACAAGGAATAGGAGACCATGGTAAATGAAGACCACATGAGAATAGGAAGAAGCAAAATGCTAGAGAGGCCCACAGAAATCCACAAAGATACCCACACAACAGACTGCTGGCAGTGGTCGAGAGACAGCCCGAACTGACCTACTCTGGTGATGGGATGGCCAAACACCCTAATTGTTGTGCTAGAAACCTCATCCAACTACTGAGGGAACTGGATGCAGAGATCCATGACTAGGCCCCGGGTGGATCTCTGGGAGTCCAATTAGCGAGAATGAGGAGGGTTTATATGAGCGAGAATTGTTGAGACCAAGGTTGGATAAAGCACAGGGACAAATAGCCAAATGAATGGAAACACATGAACTATGAACCAATGGCTGAGGGGTCCCCACTGGATCAGGCCCTCTGAATGG